ATACTTATTCTAACTATTACTTCGATTTTTGTTTATAATAATAAAAAAAAAAACTAGCATCACGCATAAAATTTTATTAATATGTTAATATACACTCTAAAATGTCTTTTAGCTGTTTTAACAAAACATAATAAAATTCTTAATTATTATGATAATAAAAGAAAACATTATAGTTGTTTTAACTAAATTAATAATAATTATTGCCATGCATGACTGTGTATGCTTTTAGCTGCTATCCAGGGCTACTGTAACTACGTAGTTTGTTTGAAGGCAACCCACCTCAACTAAACCTTCAAACGCCAAAGTTAATAACTGAAATATTAGCTGGCGCTCACAATTTTTGGCAACAATGTTAAAAACAAAGGGAGAAAAACCATCAACATAATAATATTTTCTAGATAAAATAATATCTAATATATTTTAAATTTCCTATAAATTAACTCTTTCCATTTTCATTTTAATTATACTTGAACTTTACCCTCCTTATAAATAATAATATGTACTTGAAGTTTTAACTTGTCCTAATTAATCTTTGAATTTGATATATTTTTGTTTACAAATAAACGTCTTAATTTTAATTTTATCTTAATTAATCCTTTAATATACCCTTTCTATGAGTATTTTAAATATTAAATTGAGGTTAAACTACTACTGACAAAAAAAAATCTCAAATATTTATCCTATATAAAACTTCGATTATATATTAGTTTTATTTTTACCTATAACTTCTTTCCAAACACTAAATCATAATAATATTTAAGATTAAAAATAAAATATTATTTTAATTATTTCATTTTTTTCTAAACCACATTTTTTATATATTTTAATGTACGAAGAAATGAATCTTACCAAAAGAATAAAAAAATAATATAATGAATTATGTACATTTAAGATCAATTATTTAAGTTGTACTTGTTTAAAAAAACTTAATGAAAATGAACTTTTTAAATATCTATCAGAATAAATTGAAATAGTACGCATTATTTTACAAAATAATTTAAAGATTATTTCTGGAAAAAAATATCAATTTACTTAAGTTTAAATAACTGAAAGAAAATTAAAGTTTAGAATGTATATATATATATAAAAGGAGTAAAGTTCGGGGTTGAATTAATACTTTTCTCATATTTTTTATATGTATATATTAGTAATTTCGACTTATTTTTTCCATTTTCACTCCTTAATACTGCTTCTACATTTTAAAATACATGTTTATGCTATATAAATTTTCATATGAAACAAACTAATAATTGGAAATTTTAATTTATAATTAATATTTAAATTTGTTTAGTCAACATGAAATATAATAAAATATTTAAATCACCAATAAAATTATAATTAATTAAAAATTGTTGTTTAAAAAATGGTCTCCCATGATAATTTCAATGCAATGACAGAATTGTTGGAGTGTTAGTAAAGATACTAATTTTTTATTATTTTATAAACAAATTATATTTTTTATATATAAAAAATTTATTTAGAATAATTATTTTTTATCTTTTATAATATCATAATAAAAAAATTATTTTAACTTCTATAATATAATAATAATAATTATTATTATTATATTTTCTGTTTTTTCTTTTCATTTTTTACAAATTTATAGTATTAATAATTTATTTTCTCTATTTATAATATTATAATAACTATTTTTTATATTTTATTCACTCTTCATATCCTAATAAAACTATCTTTTTTATTCAATAAAAGATGATATAATTTTATAAACTAAGCTCTATACCTTCAACTCCAAACCACGCTAATAAACAACTTTGGTAAAATATGTCAGAAACCTAAAATATATAATATTCTCACAAGGTAAAAACAAACTACTACATTATTCTCATGTTTTAAAATGATTAAATGGGCTATAATATTTTATATAATTAAAAGGTATTTGAATTATTATTTGTCCATTGTACAGTAACTTCAACGACAGACAATCGAAATATCTTAAACAAGAATAATCTTATTTTATTTTATTGAAAAAACTTGCGAAAAAAATTATGTTTTCAATCACAAATTTTATTTTCCTCTCTATTATCAGTTGAGAAATTTAAACATGGGACTAATTAAATTAATAAATTTAGATAGATTAAAAATATTTAAAGATGCTAAATTGAACAAAAACTCTTGTTTAATATTTCAGTTCTAGTAACTGAATAATAAATCATAAATAATTAATTAAAATTTTATACTTATCTCAAGTAATCGAAAAGGGACATATTTTAGAACTAATTAATTAAATTTCGAAATTGTAAAATATAAATTATCGTGAAACAGAAAAAAAAAGTTAAAATTTGAAAAAAAGGAGAAGAAAAAAAGCAATGGAAATCAGTGAGCGGGAATGTTGGTGAATGTAGAGTGGTGCAGTGACGGTGAAAGTGAGTAGAATAACTGTCACTGTGATTTCTTTATTGGTTTTGCTTGGAATGCTTTCACCATTTAACTCTGCCATCCAACTAACTAGCAGGGATATAACTCAAACAACATGAATTGTTTTTTTTGGCTTATGTGACCCTATCACTTCACCTAATGCATGTGATTTTTCCATTTTAATACTATCATCAAATCAGCTACCTCAGAAAAACAAAGGGCGCATCACACCTTCCAACTCATCACCAATTATTTCCTCATTTCCCATTCTTTTTTATTTTTAAATCTTCTCATACCACCCACTTCCTATAATTTTCTTCCATTGCTTTTCCTTTTACTACGTTATAGACCCGTCATAATACTTGACTCTGGTTTATAAAAAACCTAGGGGCGAAACTGCATTCAGGACTTTCTCTGTTTCACATTTGATATTTTTTCAAATGAAAAAAAAAATACAACACATTTTTTCTAATTTTAAACATATTTTAAATTTATCTTACTTTGAGACGAAACGACTTGCCTTTACTACTCTTCTTTAAAAGTGTTTAACCAAAAGTAACGAATAAACATTTAGCTCATCATGAGTAACTTTTAATTTAAGTAAAATCAAATTATAAATCACATGTATATTTAAGGAAATACACTATGCATGATTGAGTCAAAAGAACGATGAATATAACTGGTTAAACTTGTCAGCAAAGAGTAAAAATATGTTAAAAAGAGACTATTCTAAGAATACAATATGAGAGATAGAAATAATGATATATAAGGTCACAAAATACAAAAAAAAATATAATATTATCAAAATTAAAAATGAATTATTAATATGAGAACTTGTATTAAAAATAAGAAACGATGTTTTTTAACAAAAATGAAATATTAATAAAGTAAATAAGTGCTATAATTTTTAATATGGTAGAAAAAGGAAAAATTAACTATGTTTTTGAGAGACATGGAAAAAGACAAGTAATAACGACCGAAGGTTTGATTCTCAGCTCTAGTTTCTTAACTTTGTAATGGTTTATGTCTGATTTTTTTTTTTTTCTTGTGTTGGACATTTTATATTAGCTCCTCCCCTGAACAGATTCACCAATCTTCAACCTTTGTAGAAATCTAGAAAGTGTTACCCCGCTTCATCATCTCTATTTAGAGTGGGCCTCACCTGATTGAGAATCTCTGTTATTATAATTTTATAATCGTAGAAAACAAACTATTATTATCGTCGAGGTCGTCACAGAAGAAAATCAAAGCCTGGATTTAAAATTATCGTATATTTTCAATCATGTATGCATTATTTATGGGTTGAAGGAATTAATTTTTGTGACAAGCAAAGAAAATATAGGAAAGTGAGGAAGAAGATATATAAAGTCCAGCAGGAGTGGCTATTGAATATGAGAGTGTTGAACGACAAAAAATGTTTCTCCTGTTGTATTTCAGTGGTAACAATGAGGCAGACAAAATAAGAAGGGAAGAGTTATTCTAGGTTAAGAAGGGGGCATCGACACACATGTCACATGGCAAGTTGCAGTTATATACAATTTTACTTGTTTAGTTTTGTATAGTATATATGGTTGAATACCAATTATGATGGCGATAATAATAGATATATACTATAAAAATGGATATATAGTTTGACCAATGAAATTGATATTCCGTAATCGATATGCTTACGTGATGCAATCTCTAACTCTAGCTGCGAGAGTATAATTAAAACGTATATGGAAGGGGAGAAACATATGAGTGATATTGTCTTGATGCCCAATGGAGATTCTATAGTCCACACTCCAAATCAAGCAATTTGTTAGTTTGCTAGCCAATGCCAATGGCGAGACATTGGGGGCATGTCTGGGGATGTTAAATAGTGGTGGTTAAAGAAAATGGCCGACATGGGTTAGGGTAAAAGGGGGCATATGGACCATCCCTGAGGCTCCATATTTTAACTTTTGATGGACCTCCTGGGTCACACTGCCCCACTTTCCATTGCTGTCGGTAATGGCAAGTTCGCAAACAAAAATACAATATCAACCTTCTCTTAACCTCCCCTTCCCTTACATCTATCTATTCCTGTTATTCACTTCATTATCTGCTTCTACACAATTAACACTACCTTCTAACCAATCTAGACATAATTAGTACGACTTCACTTCATGCCAACAAAAACAACAAACACAACAAAAACATTCATTATTTCTTGACTCGTATAAACTCGAAATGCCACGCGAGATAATACCCGGTTGGAGACAATTTCCACAAATAGTGTCAATAACATTTTAGTCCCTGCTCCTTCTTCACCAATACTACGCAGCGTGGACTTCTCCTGACATGGTTGGGGCGGTGGGCATTTTAAATTAAACCCATTTATTCACAGTTTCTGTCTCCTCCCCTCCCCCACTCTCTCTCTTCTCGAGAAAGCCTACCTTTTTTATAGTCAAATACTTTCTGCATAACCACGTGGCTTTCTACCCCCCTCTCGGACTTGCCCTATAAATTTAAAACCAACCTTACTTCTCTACTCACCAATTCCTCTTCAACATTCCACTCCAAACATTCTTCTTCTCTTCTCTTCCTTCAGCGATCAACCTCCTCATTACTTCCCACCATCCCAAACACACAAATACACAAAAATGAGGCTCTTGTCCACAAAAGCAACGTGCAATAGTCACGGCCAAGACTCTTCATACTTTTTAGGTTGGCAGGAATACGAGAAAAACCCTTACGATGAGATCCATAACCCCAAAGGAATTATCCAAATGGGTTTAGCAGAGAATCAGGTTAGACATTGAATTTTTTTTTTCTCATAATAACCACAATTTGTATTCTATTACTTACGTTAAACCTTGATTCACTCACGAAATTTGTCTTTTGCATTGCAGCTCTCTTTCGACCTCCTGGAGTCATGGCTGGCTAAGAACCCTGATGTGGCAGGGTTCAAACGAGACGGCAAATCCATATTCAGAGAACTAGCTCTCTTCCAAGATTACCACGGTCTCCCTTCCTTCAAAAAGGCATTGGTAGATTTCATGGCAGAAATCAGAGGAAACAAAGTCACTTTCGACCCCGACCACATCGTTCTCACTGCCGGTGCCACTTCCGCAAACGAAACCTTAATGTTCTGTCTCGCTGATCAAGGAGAAGCATTCCTCCTTCCCACTCCTTATTACCCAGGGTGCGTATATTCTTATGTTAATCTTATCACGTATATCCTACTTCATGCTACAAAATATTACGTAATTATAATTTTAAATTTATATTTTTTTTATGCATTCCCCTGACCTTGCTTTATTCTATACAGATTTGACAGAGACCTCAAGTGGAGAACTGGTGCTGAGATTGTTCCAATACAATGCACAAGTTCTAACAACTTCCAAATTACGGAGACAGCTTTGAAACAAGCTTACGAGGAGGCACGCAAGCGCAACCTGAGAGTGAAAGGCGTTTTGGTGACAAACCCGTCAAACCCGCTAGGCACCACAATGTCTCGGAGTGAATTGAACCTTCTCGTCGACTTCATCAAAGAGAAAACCGACATGCATTTGATAAGCGACGAGATATACTCCGGGACGGTTTTTAGCTCCCCGGGCTTCGTCAGTGTCATGGAAATCCTCAAGGAGCGAAACGACACTGACGGAATCGGGAACAGAGTTCACGTTGTCTATAGTCTCTCCAAAGACTTGGGTTTGCCGGGTTTCCGCGTCGGCGCTATCTACTCAGAAAACGACACTGTGGTTGCCGCCGCAACGAAGATGTCGAGCTTTGGGTTGGTCTCTTCGCAGACACAGTACCTCCTCTCTGCCATGCTGGGCGACAAGAAGTTCACCCGAAACTACATCGTTGAGAATCAGAAGAGGCTCAAACGACGACAGAGAATGATGGTTTCGGGGTTACAAAAAGCTGGTATTTCTTGCCTCGAGAGCAATGCGGGGTTGTTTTGCTGGGTAGACATGAGGCACCTTTTGCATTCGAACACGTTCGAAGCTGAGATGGAGCTGTGGAAGAAAATAGTGTACCAAGTTGGGTTAAACATTTCTCCCGGGTCTTCGTGCCATTGCACTGAGCCAGGGTGGTTCCGCGTGTGTTTCGCTAACATGTCCGAGGAAACTCTGACCTTGGCCATGAAACGCTTGAAGAACTTCGTGGTTGAGTCCACGTGCACTCAGAGGAGTGCTCTGTTCAACGGAACCTCCAAAAGAAAGTCTCTCACCAAGTGGGTTTTTCGGTTATCGTCTCGCGATCATCGTGAACAGGAAGAACGGTAGCCTGGTCTTAGTCTATGCGTGTCGCTCATGCACAAATTCATTTAAAATTTCTTTTTTTCTTTTTCGGCCTCCCCAATATTTTTGGTGGAGTAGTCAAAAAAATGTCGATTTGTTTTTCTTTATTTTTAAGATAAAATTAATGTAGAAAGAGAGAGAAACAAAAAAAGCACTCTGTCCATGTGGATGTGAAGTGGTTGGGCTTATAGTCAGCCTTGTTTGTATAAGTTGTTCCCATATATCAGTCATTAATTCCCCTACAAAATCTCCTTAGTATCATTAATGAAAAGTTTTATTTATCTCACTGCTCTATTTATTACACTAATTTCTCCTATCATATGGAAATCTTCTTGGTATAAATCAATGACAAGTTTGTTTATTACATAGCGTTAGTTAATGTGATCAGAGTTTAAATAATAGCAGCAGTACTTGGATGGAATATTGCAATAAAGAAACTCATAATAGTCAAGTTTGAAACATCATGTTGCACTATATTATTGTCATGTGTGGTTATAGCTTCCTTGACATGTGTTGAACGGGGCACTCTGCTTGCAAGAGCTTACTTGTACGTAATTAACGGCACCGGCGACATAAAAGCCCGAGGACGATGGCCCCTATTCAACAAACCGACCTTCATACCAATTTCACTGTTTTCAATCATAACATTTTTCTAGGCGTAAGTGTGGGTCAGAGGCCAAAAAGTCAATAAGCTTTCATATACTAACATTTTCTGCTATTTCCTAATATTATCTTCTTCTTCTTCTTCTTTCCGATTTTTGGGCTGTGCTTTAAGACAAGGACGTAAAGAGCTCCACCTTTTTCTCTTTGACCGTAAGAAAGGGCTACCCAATGTGCTGTAAAAAACAAGTAATTTTTGAGCAATTGTATTTGTGCCTGTTTTTGGTACCCCAGAAAAATAGGATAAAATGCAGGAGAAGAGATGGATAATGTGATAAAAAGAAGAAAGGAAATTAAAAAATAAAATACAAAAAATGTAACTCTGAAATCTGTGGGGGGAGACGTTGAAGTTTGAACCATGGAATTTCAGGTTTATTTAAATCTGGCAACCAACTACGCAATGAAAAAGTGCGCTGGAGTTTCTTGCAAGAAATCATATTTTAAACTGTTGGGAACACTTGGGTTTGTTGAACTTTCTGGGAGTAATCATAATAATCACTGCTGAAAAAGTTATTTTGTCTGGAACAGATTTTGCGGTGACGAGTACGTATGTATGCGCTGGATGTCCCTCCACGAATCGCAAGCTCTATTCATGTTTTGAGTGGCTTTTCAAGAATTAACAAAGCATAAAGTTATCTCTTTTACTCAACAAAGCATAAAGCTGTTTGAATTGATGTTTTGAATTACGACGAGCTTGAGAAAGTCCAGGAAAACACTACCTAATCACATTCGCAGTTCACCCACACGTACATGACACGTTCGCTAAATTGACGCATGCACTTCAATCACATGTCTCACTTCCACACGCCATAGCCCAGTTTCAAGACTATCCTACGTCTTACATGATTCAGTTTATTCTAAGAAATAAAAAATGAAGTATTTAACTCACTAACTCAAAAAAATAATTCAGGGTCTTCAGAAAAAGTCAAGATTTTCATTATGGTAATCACAGAAATAATGTCATCTTATTTTTATGTATTTTATATTTCTAAATCTAAAATACTAAAATCAAAACAAAATTTTTATAATTAAAAGTAAAGCATTGTATCCAATTAGTAAATAGATCCCTAATCTTCCTACTTGTCTATGCCCATGTTATAGCAGCAGACCCTGCCTTTATATCTTCCGATAAGGTCATGGGTTCACACTTGAACAATATTATAATTATATATATGCACATATATATCTCCCCTGCAAGTCTAGGCACTCATACAATTGTTAAAGCACCAACCTATCACAAAATAGGGTATAATATTCCTTATTTTTCATTTTATGATCCTACAAAAATATATTATTGTTGAAAAACAAATATATTCATGTGTACCAAATTGAATTCGCATATTAACAAAAGAACATGGGGCGGAAAATTTTAGGCCATTCCCTTTCCATCTCAAATCGAATCTACTAACAAACTTGATAATTGTTTTCATAAATAACCATTAATTTAATACATGGTATATATTTTGATCACGTATAGCACTTTTTTTTATTTACTATGTTATGAACGTACCATACACTAAATAAATATTTATGATAATATTAGGTAAACAGATTAATGTGAAATTAAAAATAATTTTTTTTCATGACAACATAATAATAAATTAAAAATATGATAAAGTAAATCTATCTTAACTATTCAAATTTTGAAAAATTTCTTCATAAATAATCTTTGAAATCACATTCATATTATAAAGTATCCCATAAGATATAACCAAATTTTAATTATTCATATGAAAAAATAAAAAATATTATAATTTATTTTTAATCAGGATTTTCAAAAAAAAATTTCGCTGTTTCACTTAAAATAAGGAAATTTTGGAATTATGAAACAATTCACTTTAACATAAAATTACTATTTTTAAATTCCATTTTGAAATAATTAAATGTTAATATTTTATTAATTTTAATTTTATATGCTCACTAATGAAATGATTTTATTTAATACATATTTTAAAAACAACCTTAACTTTTCGGGAAAATTTTCTCTCGAGACTTCTTCCTTGTTGATAATATATAATAAGATTGTAAATCTAAAGAATAATTCCTTTTACAACAGCAATAATCTATAGATTGATTCCATTATATTTTTTGAATGTACATGAGAACAAGAAATTGAATCTCCGGGTCATGTCAAATTCTAGGGTAAAATATCGCTATAGAGTGATAGCCAGAGAATTTTCTAGGAGTAAAAACCTCCTATGTCATTCTAAATTGAAATTTAAGGCAAGAATAATTTTTAATTTGCAAAACTTTTCATATGAACTATCTTTTAAAATAATTTATATATAAATTAATTTTAGTTTATAATGAAGTTTATTTATTTATTTATTTACAAATATTTATAAAAAATTATTTAAATACCCATGTAATGTGCACTTATATCTAGCAGCCATTAAAGATGGATCTAGTAAGCTATATGCTAGTCACAATCAACTGTAGAAAAAACTTTATGTTACAGTTCAATTCAGTCATAGTAAAAAAAGTGTAAACCATCGTTTAATTCCGTGGGAAAGAAACATAGTTTTACTTTAAAAAAGTTGGAGTGTCATATTTCATATGTATTTTGTGAATTGAAAATCTTGATCTCATGTAGACAGGTGTCAATACTCGAGGTCGCTGGTTGCCTCAAGAAACTTCAAATCCCATTCTATTCCATGGATGGGGACTGGGGATCCACTTAAACTATTAAGAATAACATCTCGTGACTTCTCAATTAAAGATTTGAGTTTTTGCTTTCTTAATTTCTGTTTCAATCTGTTTTAACAAATAATCAAATGCTCTTATAGTTGCTTACCATCTTAATTATATACCACCCATCATCTTACATGTGAAGATAAGCTTTTTAAGTCTAAGGACTTGATTAATTATCAATGGCAGACTCATATTAACAAATTATGATTACATTTATAAAATTTTAGGTTTTGGGAATTTTGGTCGATTTCAAGATTATTGTCAACTACATGCATGTGCCCAGCAGAAACCTAAATAATATGTTTTTTTGCTACATATACGCCTTCGCTTTGAACTATTAATGCTCTATGGGTACAACTAACTAACATATCATGAGGTTAGTTTCTGGTAGGTTTGAGCATGATTATGACCAAGTATTAGAATTATTGTTGTTCTAAATAAAATAATAATCGTCCCTTGTAACCCAAAACAGAAAACATGTCAACATGGTTTTCTGGTAAGATTTGTAGAAGGAGTCTCAGATTGCGGACGGCAACAGAACATGAATGTATCTATTGCATTTTGGAGAATCCAAAATATACAATATCATCTACCACAAAAAAATTCAATAAAACCTTCTTCAACCATAATTCTAGTTATACGCACATCCAAGGGGGCCACCACTTCAAGATTTTCCTCCTTCATTTTATTGCAATCTTTGCTACTTCTCATTAATCGTTTCTTTATTTATGTATTGTGTGTGCCATAGAGATGCATAAATAACTAATCATAAATAAAAGTCAAACCAAATCAATCTGTAAGAATTTTAGAAAGAAAATATTCTAAATGAATTCGGGATTACTATTATTATTTTAATTATTATAAACTAATAATATAATATATTTTTAGATAACTTACAGTTAATTAACCACAAATAGTAATAATTTAACTTTTAATGTAAGTATCATAAGATTTAATAAACTTATATACTGATTTGTAATTGGATGATAATAAAAACACGAACATTACGCTATTGCACCAAATTTCTGAAATAATTATGCACCTATTATTTAATTTCAGAAAAAAGATACGGAATAAATTTGCATATGCGTCATTATAAACGTCTAAATTTGAATATAAACAATAATAGTAGTGTAATAATTCATGTAAGTTTTTTATTCGCAACTAAGTATTATTTTTTTATTCATATAAGTAATAATTACTGATTTTTCTTTATAATATAAGTGGGAAAATCTAATTATTCTAAGAGAATTTTCTCTACATAATATAGCTCCCTAATTAATCTTGCTAAAGAATCCTAATTTCTCTCTAAGAGAAATTTTAACTTGATAAGAATATTATGTTCAATAACTTAACTTTATTTTAGAATTAATTAAATTTATTAAATAAATTATATTTCAGATATCCAATATAATTAAAATTGGGTACACATAATTATCGGGATATAATATCAAAATATTGAATAATTAAAAATTATAAAAATAGATATACATCAAGTTGTTAAAATATCTCTAGAAAAGGTAATTTGATCTCATTATCTTTATATTCTAAAAGTTATAGAATGTTATTTTTTTATTTTAATTAAAAAAATCACAAGTTATATTATATTTGAAATAAAAAAATTATAATATCAA